CTCTTCAGTTGATTTTTCCTAATGCAAAACCTAGTTACATATAGTTACCAAACTGCCATCAAAATAAGAGAAAAATACTTATTTTTAAATTCATATTTATAATTATTAAATTGTATATAAGGAAAGGGATTTATAAGGATGCACTCATTGCTGCCATTTCTTTCTGAGTCATGCACAAGAATGCGCGCATGAGGACATTTCCTGCGTCCTCCACCGCAGTGTGCCCATGCGCCAGCCTAACGTGGCGATCAGAGACTTAGGACAGCACCTGTGACCCTGGGCAGCCACCAGAAGCACGAGGCCAGGTGACTCATCCTCAAGCAGGACAACAACCAATATTTCTACAAAGACTGAACAAAGTGGCAGAGACTCCTCCTAATTCAAACAAAACTGACTATGGACCTCACCACCGCAGCCAGGGCACTGTGTACACCAAGCTTCTCAAACATTTCTGGAACTATTGAAGAAAGTGAGGTCCAAGGTTAAAAATTATGGCACTTTAGAGACTAATAACTGATGCAATATGATACCTTCAAGTAGGAGAGTTAGGATACAGAATTTTTTTTACTTTTCACAAATTTATGAAATAGTAATATTTTATCCATAAAACCTTTCTTTTCAAGTTGGCAACTATTTAATAAAGGTTAACTCAGATGAATAACACGGTAAGAGATGCACTTCATCTATATGCTGTAAGAGTTCATAGTTTTATAATCTAAAATGATAAGTTAGTGTAACTACACTTGCATTTTATACATTTTGATTTCTCAGTTCTTAATTTCTAATTTGACAAAAGCCAAGAATATTACAAATGTGGGCACAGTATGAGTATATTCTCTAAAAGTACAACTATAACAAAACATGCAATAAAATAATTATTTACAATGATAATGACTGAATGGTACCTTATTAAATCTTTGAAGTAGTTTAAAAGAAAATGACCCCCAAAGGGAGTGGCACTATTAGGAGGTGTGGCCTTGTTGGAGGAAGTGTGTCACTGTGGGGGTGGGCTTTGAGGTTTCCTTTTCTCAAGGTTTCCTTGGTGTGACTGTCAGTTGACTTCCTATTACCGGCAAGACATAGGACACGTGGCTATTTCTCCAGCACCATGCCTGCCGACAGGCTACCATGCTTCCTGCTATGATGGACTGAACCTCTCAACTGTAAGCAAGCCCCCGCAATTAAATGTTTTCTAAGAGTTGCTGTGATCATAGCATCTCCTCACAGCAATAGTAAACCCTAAGACAGAGGTTGGTACAGAAGTGTGGTACTGCTGTGACAGGCCTGATCATGCTTTTGTTTAGAATAATACAGACTTTGGTACTTTGGGTTAGGAAAGCAGTGGAGTGCTTTAAGCATTGATTAATGGGGCATACGAGTAGGAGCATGGAAGACAATGGTGTGGATAATGATTTGAAATGCTACGAGCTGGCTCAAGAGGTTTCAGAGAATAATTTTAGTATGTTGCCTAGAAATTATTCTTGTGATATTTTAGTGAAGGACATGCCTGCCTTTTGCCCTTGTCCAAAGACTCCGCCTGAGGCTAAAGTAAAGAGTTTTGGATTAATTTTGTTGGAAGAAGAAATCTCAAAACAGCCTAGTATAGACTCTGACATGTGATTATTAGTGGTAACTTTAATGAAGATTTATGATAAAAGGAACAAGGAAAAGCTGAGCAAGAAAAAATATTTGAGGAGAAAAGGGGAACCACAAATGAAGCAAAGTCCTTTGTGCAAGGAGCTAAAAGAATTAAAAAAATAGAACAAAGGGAGTTGACCTCAGGCAGTGGTGGTGCACACCTTTAATCCTAGGCTCAGACAGAGGCTGGGAGATCTCTGTGAGTTCAAGGCCAGCCTGGTCTACAGAGCAAGTTTCAGAACAGCCAAGCTTAGGCAGTGAAAGACAGAAATCTGGTGAAGATATAATTAAACAACGGGGTCATGGTCCAGCCCCAGCAAGCAGCAGAACTTGGCAGCTCTGGCCGTGTGTTCTGGCTTTATAGTTAAGAATAAAGGAAAGGAGTTAAGATCCTGTGGTTCTGGTTAGCTGAGACCAAAGAATAGCAAGATACTAGAACTACTGAACTGAAACCTTTACGTTACTGGGACAACTGATGCTAGTTGGCTGGAGCTAAGAAATTAGCCATGATTGAGAAGAGACCAGCATCACTGAGGTGAAATCTTCTGGGAAGTGTTTCCTGAGAACACTATATTCCAGAGGCAGCCAAGATTGTAGGCACCTCATGCTGACAGCCAGATTTGAAAATGTGTAAGCGTCACCCAGGTGGTACTTGTTTTGAAGGCATGAAGGGGCCATGGAGAGTAGCTAAGGCTTGACACCATGAGAAGCCAGGTAAGGCCATTAAAGAAGGTGTAGCCTCAGTAGTAGCTGAAGGCCCAGGACTGAAGGGGTCATGTAAAGAAGTTGAGACTTCGCACCATGAGAGGAGCCTATGAGAAGCTATAGTTAAAGTGCAGCCCAGTCCCAGTAGAAGACCCCAGTGTTCTGGAGATGCCAGTGCCATGGGATGACCACCAAGATCAGCAGCAGCAGTGGCACAGAGTCAGTCGGAGCCTAGGAGACAAGCTGTGTGTGTTGCAGAGGGCAGAGTGGGAGAAGTGACCCAAACTCTGTGGAAGAGTCCACAAGACTGTGAGTAGATCCCAGATCTTGGACAATTGGAATTTTGTAATTACCCAAGACGTCAGAGATGCCAGAGTCATGGGATACCTGCAGATGAGAGCTCTAACAAGGAGTGGAAACAGCCCAGGAGAGAGAAGTGTGTGCAGTCAACAAAGCTGAATAGAGTTGGAGATGTGGAGAGCATTCTGACATCAGACCGGAGATGCAGAGTTTGGAGCGTGCCCAGCTGGTTTTCAGTCTGGCACTGGTCTGGCATTTCCTCACTGCGCTCCCTTCCCTGCATTTTGGAACAGTAATGCATATCCTGTGCCATTATATGTTGGAAGTATGTGATCTGCTTTTCGATTTTTTTTTTTTACAGGTTACATTAAGAGAGTGTCATGCATCTCAGAAGAGCCTGGATTTTGAAACAAGTTTGAGACTGCTATAAACTCTGGGGACTTCTGAAGTTGAACTGAATGCATTTTTTTTTTTTTTTTTGCACTATGATATGGCTATAAGACTTTGGCGGCCAGGGAGTGGAATGCGAAGGTTTGAAAGAAAATGGCCCCCAAAAGTTGTGGCACTATTAAAAGGTGTGGTCTCACTGGAAGAAGTGTGCCGACTTCCTGTTGCCTGCAGGATGTGGTACACTTGTCTGTTCCTGCCTGCTTGCCGCCATGCTCCCCACCATGATGAAATGAACCTCTGTAAGTGAGAATGTTTTCTTTCTAAGAGTGTTGTGGTCACAGTCTCTCTTCACAGCAGCAGACACGCTGACTGAGACAATCAGCACACGCTCCAGGATCTGACGGCCCGAGAGCAGGACTGGCCAGTGTCACCATCCATCTCGTTTTATTTTCTGGGACTAAGCAAGAAGTAGACGATTTGGAGAAAACAATAACAACAACAACTTTTTTCTTTTATTCCACAACAGGGTCCTTGTAGTCCAGGCTAGCCTTGACTCTGGATCTTCTTGGCCCCACTTCCTAAAGTTCTGGTGTGCAACATCAGCCTGGCCAGCCTCTTTTTACAGCATCTCTGCTATATTTTTAACATGGCTCCCAAGACACCAAAGATAATCTATATTTATCTTAAATAAGATGATAAAAGGCATTGATTTGGGAAAATGCATATATCCAAAGTATATTTTAGTCATTTATTTTCCATTTTAAAAGGTTTAAAAATGGCTCTAGCCTAGAAGTAACCCAGGAGACAGACACACAGCACCACCTAAGCGCATGAGCCAGAGGAGCTGGCTAGCTTGCAGTCTTCGGAAGTTTTGTTTACAACAAAAGCAAGTATCTAGTCACTGAGTTTGTTTTATTTGGTGATGATGGTTATCCTTGCCACAGGATGGCCAATCCTCAGCAAAACGTCACTACAAGAACAACTTAAATTGACTGGGGTCACTTAGGGTTCCTGCTACTACTGGCATGCTCTGAAGAACCCCCTCATAGCCCAGACACACAGGTCAGCTCATGCACGGGACTGCAGTGAGGGTCTTGCAGGACATCCATACGACACAGCCAACAAGGGTGCAGCTCACTGGGAGGCACAGGCACCCACAGCATCAATCTCAAGCCTGGGAAGCTAGGCTGTTTAGCGAAGCTCTTATCAAGTGTCAGACACAGGGTTTTTAAAAGTTCATCAAATTAAGAAACTGAGCTGGCTAAAAAGATGACAAAATAAATGCAGTATTTGATACAGTTTTTATTTAACGGGATGGTTTCAAGGCCATGGTCCACAGTTCACATGATTCTGAAGAGCAGTCTTATCTTCAGGAACTACCCACCTCCACACAAGCATCTCTAGAGAAACCCACGTACAGGGATATTAGCTTTCAACACTATCATTTAGATTTTGTACTTGGACACACTTCAAATTTATCTACTTGATGCAGGTGCCACAGGAGATAAAAATTCATGCAATGATATTTGGGTTCTTTTTTAAAGTAAGTCTATCATTTGATAATTCAATGCTATATAAAGTACATTGAATATCTAAAATAAAACAAATGCCAATTATATCATTAATTAATAATATATTTATTCTCTTGAAACCAAACAGGCCCAAGTTCCTTTTTGTCTTCTTTGAGTCAGCTATCTAAAAGCTTGTCCCTCTCAAATTTCCTGTGTAAGGAAAACCAAGACATTTTATTTCTTCTTGGCAATTAACAAAGATGGCAGAAAGTTCAAGACAGGTGAGCTCTTGATACCTCGGAGTCGGAAAGGGCTTCTTCTTGGGCAGAAGGCTCATAATCACCTGTGTTTTCCGCTAATTCAACCTCTAACTCGTCATTGCTTTCTGCACTGTAATCAACTTCTTCAAGGAATCGAGGTTCATCTTCATCCAAAACATAAGTGGTAGGGCTGCAGCCAAAGCACAGAACACACAAGGCTTCATGAGACCCTGACTCGGACACACCACTCACAGGCATCAACCTGGACCTCAGTAATACACGCAGCTCCGATTAACTGGAGACTTCATACAAATGAACACGATGTTTCTACCAGCTGAGAGCCACTTGGCCCAGCAGTGGGGGTGACATGGCCGTCTGTAGTGACACTGAAGGATTCGAACACAGCACATCATAGGCACAAGGGAAGTGGATTCACTCAAGAGTTAGTTCAAGGATTTCATCAACACACACATTTTGAAGATTTATCTTAAAGTTCTATTTTAATCCCTGCAAATCAGGCAACAGGTAGTTCCAACAGGCTGTGTGAGAAACTGTGGCACCTAACTGCCTCCTGGGAGAATGAGTTAGAGCCACTGACATCTACAGTGAACTCACTGCTGTGAAATGGTCACAGTCACATCCCCACAATGTGATTACTCAACACACAGACTGACTACTTCCCACTGGGTAGAGAATAAGATGTTTGTGCATTTCTTCAGGTAGTGTGTGAGGGATGAAAACAGCTCTCCCATTACTGTTTCCCAGTGGTGGGAATTACACACTCACATCAAGAACTCACTGCTGGGACAATCCACACACTCCGCAGTTGTGACCAAATCAACCCAAATTTCATATGTATGTTTGCTTACAGGCCACTTCCAAAAAACTATTTCTGATAAGTGAAACAACCAAAAACTATACAACCAGACAAAAGAGGAAACAGTCTGTTAAAATAAGAAGCAGCGCGGGTCAGCCGACCCTGAGACGAGAGAACACAGAGCTGAGCTCCCAGGCCAGCGCTGGAGCAGACGGCAGGGGGTCCTGTAGTTGCAATAGTGCATGGAAAAAGTCAATTCTGTCTGAAAAAGCACATCTTCCTCCTCCAGTGAGCTTTACTCTTGCAGAGGAAAGTGTGGTGTGTGTGTCTGTGTGTTTGTGTCTGTGTCGGGAGTAGGGATGGGACTTCAAGCCATCTTACTCTGACACATAACGGATTTTTCCCTTAGAAGTTCAGAGCTTTCTTGCCCAGTGGTTGTGGAGCACACCTTCAATCCCAGCACTTGGGAGGCAGAGGCAGATGACTCTCTGAGTTCCAGGCCCGACTAGTCTACAGAGCAAATTTCAGGATGGCCAGGACTACAGAAAGAAACCTTGTCTTGAAACAAACAAAAAAATAAGTTCATAGCTTACACAGCATACCACGGTCCAGATAAGATGCTGACTGCTGACTGGCTTGGAAAATGAACAAGACTTCATAGACCCAACATTTACAAGGACAACTTACTATGAAATTTAAACACGTAGTTAAAAGTTCCATAGGTAGTTTTTCATGGGCAGAAAGACTATAAAAAAGATTGTCTGTTTTTTGACATGGCTGTTACTATCTCTCTTGCTTTTGAAATATAATAATTGGTTCACCTTTGACCTCAGTGTTTCAGACACTCCTAAAAGTTCTAGGTGAGCCTTAAGAGGCTGAGACGGGAACTAAGTGGAGAGAACAGGCAGCCTCTTGGCACATATTTGCTTAGTCCTGGCTGCAGACTGACAGTCAGAGAGGAGCACGGCAGGGCCAGCAGAGAGGCTGCTAGAGGGCGGAGGACAGGGCAGCTCCAGGCAGGTGAGGCACAGAGGCAGAGACAGTGCTTCGCAAGAGGGAGTAAGGCGACAGACCCCACACGTTAGGAGCAGTGCTTGAAGACACCTTGAACCAGGAGGTGTAGCTCAATGGCCACTGAGAGAGCAGAGGCTGGAACCAGGTCGGTTACAAGGAGCAGGGTCAAAATAAGGATTGATTGTGTGTGTAAAAGTGAATCCAAAGTTCATTAGCTGGAAATCGGAAAAGGGTCTGAAGACCGTCTCCTAAATCTGTGCACCAGTGAAAAGAGAGAACAAGAGAGGTGCCAGAGTAAGGAGAGCAAGGACTTGGGAGCCTCAGACCAAGAGAGCAAGCTCCAGGGGAGCACAGCAAGAGACGGGCAGGGCTGCACCAGAGGCTGTTTCCCTCATGGCAAGTCATGGCTTACTCATCAGTTTGGCAAGAACAAACCACGCCTGCCTCGTTCACCAAGAACCCTGCTCATGGTGTCACCTGTTCTGGTAAAGAGAAGGGAGAGAGGAGGCAAAGCCCCTCCTCTGAGTCCACACCTGTAGCCCACTGTGGTCACTCAGGTCCTGAGAACGCTCTGCTCCTCGGCTCACAGTGGCACTGGCCGTGCAACATGGTCACCACTGCTGGGAAAGGAGACACGGCGTCTGCCAGGAAAGCATGCAGGGATCAGAGAGGAGAGAGCAGAGCAGACATGTCTACAAATCAGGCTTATGGAAGGAGAGGAAGGGAAGGCATGCAGTTCTCCACACTGCACATGCCCAGCCCTCACAATAGGACTCCACTGCCATTCCTACCAGCGGCTCGGCTGCACTCACTGTGGAGAGAATTCTGACTCTTCCACTCTGGTTTGCTTTCTCTCCTCTCTGTTGCTGCCCTACAGAGCATGTGATCTGATAAAGATGCTCTTGGATCCCAGCTCCCCATTTATGCATTCTCTTAAGTTCCAAAAGCAAACATGTAACCTGACTTCACCTAACCCTCTTGTACATGCATGGAGTTCTAGAGACATTACATGGCTATCTCACTTACACCACAGACACCGCATGTTGAAAACTCATTGTTTCCCCACTATTTCTGTTCCTCTTCTGTGTTCTCAAATCTATATACTCAGGAAGTCACACAACTCAAAATTCTCCAGAAGAAAGCTAGCCTTAATCTCCAGACAATACCAAGCCCTACATGTTCTTAACACACTTTGGTCATACTTCTTTTCTCTGCACAAAATGTACGTCCCGCTTTCTTCTCCCAATGGCTCATGTTTCTTTTCAAAGTAAGCTTGACTTCATCCTCAGTTCTCCTAAACGCCTTGGCATGAGTTCCCCATCCACATTTCCTTTGTGCCCTACACAGACATTCCATCTGACCACCATACACACACAGCTCAAGCCACCCGTTCCCATGCCTGTTTTCTCAATACTAATTCTCAATACTAAACCAAAGATCAGGAACTATGACTTACCCACTTACACACTTCCTGTGCCCCCAGAAATGTCTAGAAGCACTTTTCAGGTGCTTCAATAAAGGTTTGTTGAATACTTTATGAATGTAAGAATGTGATGTCAGGATCCCACCTACAGCAGCCCTTCACCTCCAGGCACCAACAGGCACCTTGCTGAAACAAGGTCATTCTCTCTCCCTAACAGGCTCTTATCTGGACAAGTGAGTTTACACTGAAGGGATATTTACTGGTGGCTCCCCATTCTGCTCCCACCCCATCTGCTATTCCCTACGGGGAATCAGCTTAGCTGCAGGCTTGTGCTGTGAAACCACTTCCACCCTGAGGTCCTTATCTTCTGCAGAGCCCCCTCTATACTGTCTCTGGGAACGAGGCCCAGACTAAAGCGCACTGTGCTGTTGTCTGTCTACCTGGCATGGCGTTCCACTCTTCTACTTAATCTCCCCAACCCTCCATCTCAGCCCTTTCAGTGAGGAGCAAAGCGACTGACATGGTCATCAATGCTCCTGCCCCCCCACCACCACTATTTTACTTCAGTGGGAAAGATTTAGGGCACAAGGCCAATCGCACCAATTAATTTTCATCTGCTGAACTCTGGTATATGTTCTGTGCACTTTACAACTTAAGAACAACCTTCATATACATTACCTAACATAGTCACAACCACCTTCCTTTTCATAGGAAATATATGTATGTGTGTCATTCTGAAATGACTATGACATACTTACAAGCATGTGCAAGTACACAGAGAGGTCAGCTGAGCTACTGGACAATATGGCTGCCCAAAGGACATCTATTTGGAAAAAGGGAAAGAAAGAAAAAGAGAGAGGGGGATGGAGGAACAGAAGGAGGGAGGGGACACCACTAAGCTCCAGCTATGAGCCAAAAGTCAGTCCTCAGAGAAGGGAGCCAGAAGGTTGGGTCACCCATCATGCACAGAATCACAATATATAAACAGCACCATCTTGTACACAGAGAGTATTAGCTACAATGAAGACTGTGGAACTTAGAGGAGACCATCTGCAGGAACCAGCCCATGACAACACTGGCAGTTCTGAGTTACAGCTGGACAATATGATCTAGCTCCAATTGTTCTCAGCATAAACACGAGCATCTCTGTGACAACCAAGCAACTCAGAATGGGCAGACGAGCAAAAGCCCCTGGAGCACAGGCTGAGAGGAAGAGGAGCACACAGCGGGGTCCACACTCATGGCTCACTGCAGTGAAAGGATACAGAGCAAAGTCGGCAAGGGGAAGTGCGGGGCAAAGTCCAGTGGGAAGCAGGGCAAAGGCGGCAGCGGCAAAGGGCAGGGTGTCATCAGAGTGCCAGCCATTTCAAAGGACTGCAGGGGAAAGCCGGAGCGCAGAGCTGTCAGCATTCCTGAAAAAAGGGAGTTGTAGAGAGGTGACCCCAACGTTCGAGTTTCCCAGAGGCATTTGACAAACTGTTAAATGACAGTCCAAGAAGTTAAGAGCACAGGAGCAAACGCAGACAGACAGAGCCACAGGAGCGCTCTGCAGCTGTGTGTGCCAAGGAGAGCAGGGCCCTGGGCCTCCACTGTGACCCCTGGGGGCTGCCACTTGGAAACCCAGGGGCACTGAACCAGGAGTCAACTAAATTTCAGATATTCACATTTTTTTTTGATATTACCTCAAGCCAGCTTAGTAGCTCACTGGGTTGGAGCACCAAACCCTACTCCTTGAAGCTCAGTTGAGGACAGAGGAATCCTCTGATCTTTACATGACACCCAGATGGCATTTGATAAACTGCCAGACATGCCAAGAAACACAACTAGAGAAAAACCCAACAGAAACAGCTTTAGTGTGCTAATTATCACATGGGAGCTCTAAAATAACTCTGATCCCAATAAAAGGGAAAAAATGAGAAAATGTAGTAACTGAAATAATCTATTCCCAGCAGACATACACATATAGACATACACACAGACACATAAACATACACACAGGCACAGACATAAGCACACAGACACACACAAACAGATGCACACATGTACACTGACACATAAACAGATACATACACAGAGACAGACACATAAAAAGATATATACACAGACACACATATAAATAGACACACATACACAAGCACACACAGAGAGAGACACATACATATATGCATAGACACACAGACAGACACACAGAGACACAGACACACACACAAACAGATACACACAGAGACAGACACATAAACAAATTCACACATAGACAGACAATACAGATATACATACACACACACACACCAGTTTAAGAGCACACTACATGACCCTAACCTGGAGCAGAAGCAGAGGCCAGCTGTGGCTGGCACACACTGCAATCCCAGCACTCAGAAGATGACACAGCAGGACTGCCAAGTTTGAGTCCTGCCTGGGCTACAGAAAGAGACCTCTCAACAGAGAGGAAAGACCAGCAGTGGGGTGGGAACCAATGAAGAGTTAAAAAGTAAATCTTAATGAATAATGGCTGACCAAAGCAGTTATATGCATAATATGGCTTAAAGTATGAACAGTTCAATTAAATACATGACAATAGTATAAAAAGTGGGAGGATCATAAATCAATGTGTCCTACGGTCTCAGCATTCATTGTCTGAGGAAGCAGACACAGCGATTTATACTGTGCACTAGTAAATTAAGGGTCCATTATGCACTGATAAACCTCTAGGGTACCAATGAAAGAATAACAAAAGAAAATAGAACAAGCTTATGGAGAGACAAAAGTGAATAACAAAATCATCCCCAAGATAAGGTTAAAAAAATTAAATAACATAGAACATCAGATGTTAAAAAAAAAAATTAAAGCTCTTCAATTTTATCAGTAATTCACTAAATAGAAACAGAATGAGTATACCATTGTATGAAGACAACAGAACAAGTTATAAACCATACAGTTATATTCTGCACACGCATTCACATCCTAAATAAGAACTCAGAAGAGCTGAGACTCAGACTAGCCAGGGTATGTCTGTGCTGCTGATGCAGGGTGGGTTGGCTGTGCCAAGCAGAAAGAACACTTCCATTGAGAGGCCTAAGTAAACATTTCATGGCCACTAAGATGGCACAGTTCAACCTGCCGTGCACCTAAGACAGAACCTGAACATAAATAAGGCACTGAGCAGCTCAGTGCATTAGAAACAATTCCATTTCCTAAGGCTGGCCTCTGCATATAAACATAGCTGCAAAACAAAGAAGCATGCTTCTGAATACCTCTCATTACAGCATAGTCAAGCATGTCTTTGAAGTGTCAAGTGACTATTACATGCTTTAAAACATACAACTACCACTTCCTCTTCATAAAAGCCGTGATCATCATTATAGGGAAAACATTTTTTCTTTGATACTTTTTCTTTTGTGTTTTTAGCACTAAGGTCCACTGGACCCAGATTAGTGTATTTAAAATTGCTAATTTTGTTGGTTTAAGTTTAGCTGTTATTTCTTTATCAAACCTTGTCTATTCTCAGCCAAGCCCTAGTCTAAAATTTAGCAACATGTCCAAATAACTCCATGAGGGGTTCCTGCAGGTGTCATCTAGAGAAGCAAACATAACAGAGATAAGAATGAAAATCTGGCTGGGTGGTGGCACACACCTTTAGTCCCAGCACTCAGAAGCCAGAGGCAAGCTGATCTCTGTGAGTTGGAGGCCAGCATGGTCTGCAAGAGCTAGTTCCAGGATAGCTATAATTGTTACACAAAGAAACCCTGACTTGAAAAACAAAACAAAAAAAAAAACAAAAAAAAAGGAAGAAGAATGATGAAAATCTGGTAGAGATTGATTTTGATTTGTCAGCCTGGATCAGATTTCAGGGAGTCTAATGCCAGAAAGTTCACTGTCAGCATATTTAAAACACAGTGCAATTTAGGAAAAGGTTTCCAGGCAACAATTAGTCCAATCAGTCCCATTCCCAGTACACAATAAAGCATACAAGTATGCAAGTGTGTGTACATGTGTATGTGATGTATGTGTGTGCAAACAGGCATGCAGGTGTATGCCACAAGTCTTCCCCAACTGGTCTCCACGAGACACAAGCTCATTGACAGCTAGGCTGAATGGCCCATGCTAGGAGGACGTGCACATGCTGTCAAGCCTGGCATCTCTGTGAGAGCTGGGGATCTGAAGTGAGGGCTCATGCTTGCACAGAAAGCACTTTATCGACAGAGAAATTCCCCAGTGTAGGTTTTCCATGGATTTTTCTGCATATTCTTATAGTAGTCATCTCACAAATGTAATGATCCTTCCAGCACCCAGCAGCTCCCTCAAATAATTCCTTCTGTGTCTTCTACGCTCACCACAAGGTAGCTGCAACACTTTCCACTGGAACTTGCAACTAACACTTAAACCTAAGGACTCATCAATACAACATGATTAGTCAGGGAATAGCAACACTGCCAGGCACTGACAGCACAAGACATCTTTCCCCCCAGAGATTTCAGGAAGGAAAGGAAGGCAGAGCAAGGGAGAACAAATTAGAAGAGGTCAGAAGTAAGGATGGGAATGACGATTCTCACTGTCACTGAAGTGAGCTAGAAATTTTAAAACAAGGTTAAGTCTATGCTGTATGATTAGATGTAAAGGTGTTGTTTGTGTAAACACACACGTACATATGGATACCCGTGGGTGTAATTACCTGAATACAGAGTTTTGCCTAAGAGAACTTAAGAAAAGTGATGGCAAAGAAGCAATAAACAAAACTATCACTACACACTGATATAAATACTACTTTAACCTACAAATCACCAGGACAGGCTAGAAACAGTGGCTAATTCCAACCTCAGGAAAACTGTGCACAAGACGGGCCTGAGGGCCTGCTGCTCCAGAGGGGAATGGACCAGCGAACAAGGTGGACATGCACAAACATACAAAAGTGCTGTGAGGGGAACAGGGCCATTCTGAGCACCAAGATGAACTAACAGTAGTTGTAGTTAGAATGAATTAAACTTTAAATTATAAGTTCACGGCGTGCATGCGCATGCACACACACACACACCCACACACACATATAAAAATAAATAAATTAAAAGTTTGATGAGAAAGAGGACACAGGCATAGTAATCCCAATGAAAACACTTCCTAATTACTAACAGGGAAAAACTAAATTTGCAATGGGAAACTTCAGCAAACCATCTTAACAGGTGACCAGAGGGAAGGTTCTGAGCAACAGGAGAAAGCAAAGCTATATATACAGCATACCAGGATGCCACAGGAGAACTCAGCATCCACAGTACGCTTGCCTAAGATGAATGGCCTAGGTACATTAAGAGATGGAGGCAAATTCAGACCAAGGACCTGAAAACTACGGAAGCCTTAAGGTATAAAAGTCAAGGGAAAAAAATCAGAAGTTTGGGGAAAACTAATCTGAGACAGACTAAGAACGATAACCAGGGAAAGAGGTAGCTGAGTTCTTAAGGGCAGAAAAAGGGTGAAAATACACACAAAATCACCCCATCTCAGCTGCAGACTGTCAGAGAAAATACCCCATCTTAACTGGAGATTGCTGGATATTTTTACAGTAGTTATACAGATGTCTATACAGTGGTGAGAAGCAGATATGCTCTACACCCTCTCAAGAGAGTCTGATGCAGTATGAACTCCTACGATAAAGAAGTAAGCAAACACACTTACAAAAGAAAACAGTTAGACTGATATACAATTTTGAAATGTTAAATATGATATGGCAGTAGTTCGCAGTATAATTCTTCTGAACAGACTTTTCAAATATACATTTCTTCCTTCTGAATGAATGAGTGTGTTGGGAGGAAGGAACAAATGGTGTTCATCTGTGTACATCACTAATAAACAAAGCTGGTCCTCTGCACTATTGGAGGCGAGCATCCTCCTTCCATGGGCCATGGTAACACTGTGACTCCAAGTCCGTGTCTGACTTCAGGGAAAGCTGACCACCCTTCACATTTGTATTATTACCGTATGTGGGCATGCATGTGTGGACACCAGAGGAGAACTGAGGAGGAGTCAGGTCTCTGTTCCCACCTTACATGGGTTCCGGACCTGAACTCAGGTCATCTGGCTTGCATGTCAAATGCTCTACCCACTAAGTCATTTACCTGCCCAGCAACATCATGGTGAACTCTATTTGCTTGCACTGGGGTTGGGCAGCACATTAAAGAACAATGGCTGCCAGAGATCACTGTCTAAGGACCACATCCACAAAGAGCCCGGTTCCTGTCTCGCTACACTCGAGGCTGCTGTGCTGATTCACCTAACAGTGCACTGATGGATGACACAACGACAAACTGGTATCCAGTAACAAAAGTCATCACGGTTCTAGAGAATGGGACTATTCTTACCATACACATACACTACAGAAGAGAAGGCTACAGTCTGATACTATGACTAACAACTTTAGCACTGAACTCTATGCTTACAAATGGTTCAAATGTCATATACAATAAATTTTAAAAGTGAATATTATTTTAAAAAACATTTGAGAGAAATAAATTATCAAATGTGTGCTAAATTCAGCTGTTTTCAACATATAATCAGGTTACTGAACAGTCATCTGAAGTATGTATACATCAATAAAATAAAATCTCTTTTGAAATATAAAACGTAACTCTCAAGTCTTAAGTTAGATATTATCTAAATGCTATATTTCTCTGCTCCTTGTTTTCAGGTTCAAAATGAAGTATTGCAGTTATAAAAGCAAAACTCAATGCAGAAGGCTCTTTCATGGCAGCCTTACTCAAACATTAATAAATGAATCAATCACTTCAGCTAGAAGCAATTATTAGACACGTGACCTAATCCTATTAACTGGACACGTGTTCTTGGCTATTGCGGTTGTCATGCTCGCCCGCTGACTGTCCCTGCGAGGTCTCACTAGCAGAGAGCACACAGGGGAAAAAGAGGAGTGTCCTACCTCGTCACTTTACAGGTTGATTCGATTAAGTCATTTTCAAAGTCAAGCATGTTGGAGGGCAGATTATATTCCAATGTAGAAGTCAGTCTTTTCAAACGCATTAAACCAACACAAAATTTCGCTCCCATTTCTTCCAATTCTCGAGTCCCAATCTGTAAACCCTAGAAATAAAGTGAACACACAGATTCTCAGAGCCTTTGGTCTTCTTCAGCTGCAGCTCATTGAAGTCACATCCAAAGAATGCTGACGCGCGTTAGCAGAGCTGAACCACCGCTGAGAAGTAGAACTGCTCTGAGATGTGGGGCATGTAGTATACTAGGTAACACAGGAAACTGCCCTACGGCACAGCATCTTATTGTGGCTCTCTGGGGTTGTTTTAGAGACAAGGTCTCGTCACATACCCCAAATTTTCATCTTCCTTCCCCTGCCCCCCTAACAACCCCACAGCTCTAAAAGAACATCCTGCAATCTGGACTCAGCTCTGGCTTCTGCAGGACCAACCTGAACTCTGCAATAAACACATACTGCCACTGACCAGGATGCAGATCACGTTACCAACAATCTCAGGGAACAGAATACGTGAGCAGAGAATTTCCTGACTAACATTACTCTTGTTCACGTGTGAAACAAAGTCTTCTTAACACTTCTTGTGAGCCGTGGTTCTGACTGAAGTCTTCTTAATGTTGTACTGAGTCTGGACCTCCAAAGACCACCAGGAGACCACATCTAATGCAAGGCAGAGTGGCTTTTTTTTATTCCAGCATGCTGGGGCTGACCATCCTACACAAAGGCAAGATGACTATGACCCCAAGAAGGACGTGGGGTTTCTTTCCAGCCTTACTGAGGGACATATCTAAGGAAGGTAGATCATTTTGGATATGATAGGCTTAATCATGTAGAAATCATATTAGCATGTTGTAATTGCTAGGGCTGGTCAGGGGTCAGTCAGGGCTACAGTTTTCCATTTGGGGGCAGGCCTCGACAAGTCCCAGGCCCTGTCCTCGAGCTGCTGTGGAGATGACTCAAGCCTGGCCTGGCCTAGTTCTACGTGTACCAGGCCTCCTCCTGGCTGTTGGGGGTGTTAGAGATTGACTGTCCTTTATTTGTGGCTTTTCCTCAGAAACTGCTTGTCCGGTCTCAGGAAACTAAGAGAAGACTGAGCAGACTGTTATGGTGTCTGCTTTCACACACTGTGTGAGCCATGGCTCTGACTGTCAATGCTGAAGCGCTCGTATTAAAGTCAAAGCATTATGAACTTCTGAACAATGCCTTATAGATACTCAGATAGTGTCTAAGTCAGTAGAAAGAAATGAAAGTAAGTACCTAAACAAAAGAGAATGAATTCAACAAAAGTAGTAAATCATTTCTATGTTCCATGTCAAGTGAGAGTGCTTGTTTAGAAAATTACACATGGTTCCCATCACCTTCTTTTACTGCTCCCTAAATATAAGGCTATCAAATGTTAAATGTCACCATATAAAACCACAAATACTGACTGCAAACTACAGAGCTTATCATTTGTTTTCCAGATACAAAATGAACCAAAACAAATAAAGGCTTTAGGTCATCGAAAGCCGTGGGTGTGGAGGAGAGCGGAGCCTAGCAAGGATGGACTACAGCCGGCTGCAGTCGCCGGCCTGCAGGAGTCCACTGCTTGTGCAAAGAGGCACAGCTAGCATAGCAGGCAATTTACCAGGAATGACCTGTGTGTCCTGACCCACACAGCAAACATGTAAGACCGCGGAGGAAGAAGCATTCCCTCCCTAGTATATTCAATTTGGTTTTTTAAGAGCTTACATATTTATACATTAAAAACTAATAGGTCTGATGGGACGGCTCATCCAGTAAAGGCACTTGCCACCAGGCCTGACCACCTAAGTTCATCCTGAGACCACCTTGGTAAGAGAAGAAAACTAATTCCTACGGATTGTCCTCTAGCCTACATGTCTCTCTCTCACACACACACACAGCCATGTATGTACACACACAAAAAGGTCACACACCCAAAAATCTAAATACAACTAGTTACTAATATACTTATTTTAAATTCATAAAAAATAATATTTAAACTACTAAATTGACAGGAATTTTTTATAATAGAGTGTTACTTGTGTAGCTTCTTATAAATTACTAAATAAATGTATGATCCAATGTACCAATGTACTTTCCTTAAAATTATGGACCTGAGTAAAGTTGAATAATTAAAATTCTTAAAGATTCCCAAGCAAGTGATCTAGTTTAGAGAAATTAAAAGCAACAAAAAGCAGGGTCAGGAAGATGGCTCAGTGGGTAAAATTGACTTATCTTCAAGCACAACGACTTGAGTTCAAATCCTACACACATCTGTATGTGCCCACAGCAGGTAAGAGAAACTGGTAGATTCTCGGAACTCACTGGCTGGCCAGCCAAGGGCATTTCTAGTTCTATAAATGGAAGGTTTGTGTATACTTCAGAGAGATCCTATGTCAGAGAACAAAGTGGACAGTAACAGAACAGCAGAGTTCTCCAAACCTGGGGGCCGAGAAACCCTTTTACAGGGGTTGCCTAAGACCATTGGAAAACAGATTTAATTACAATTCATTATCAGTGCAAATTATAGTTATGAAGTAGCAATGAATAATTTTATGACTGTGTTAAAGGGCCACGGCAACAGGAAGGTTCAGAACCATTGCCTTAGAGGAAGACATTCCACATCTTCTTCTGGCATGGATGCATAGACAGGCATGCACCCTTACACACCGACATACATGTAGTCCTCACTCTGACTCAGAAACTGTCATACTGTGTCACTCGATCTCATTACTATATGTTACACACATAGCTCAGTAAGGCAGATGTACATTTAACAAATACTTAAAAACCGAAAGAGCATATATGAAGGGAAACATCGAGCATCTTTATGTCTAACCACCTGAGGCGGGAGAGATAGCTCTGTTGTTACAAGTGCAGAGGAACAGGGCGCAGGTCCCAGCAGTCACATGCACCGCTTACACTGCCTGCAACCTCAGCTCCAGGGCCTCCTTGGGCGTTGCACTCACAAACACGTGCGCACACAGACATACCAGAATCTTCAGATTCTTTACCTTGTATCTGCCCTGGTCGCAACCACACAGAGTGCTCTCCATAGTGTAGCTCCTCTGAACGCCTATTTCCCGCCATACTACAACCCGAGCTGTGGACTCTTTGGATTTCTCCACGACAAAGCTACAGCTGCTCATGCAAAATGCTGGGGCAATGTGGCTCAGTATCTTAGGCAGAGTCTGTAAAATAAAATTGTAACCCAGAAGCTATTAATTCAAATACTGCTTGATTTTTAAGTATCTGTGCTCCTCCCCCTCTCTCAACCTTAGCTAATTTAGAGTCTTCTGCTGTTCCAAATGGTAACCAGTGAGGAAACACATTTATAGCAGCAAGCAACGTACAAAGTACACATTTAAAAGTGTCTACAACAAACATGACTAAAAAATATAAAGAAAGGGACTTGAGAGATGGCTTTGAGGTTAAGAGCACTTGCTGCTTATGCGAAGAACCTGAGTTCAGTACTGAAAACTCACACTGGTAACTGAAGCTCCTGGGGATCTAATACTCTCTTCTGGCTCCTATGGGAACCCACACGCATGTGTGAAAACTTTCACACAGACACACATACATAGACACGCACAAGTAAAAATAAGCAAATAAAATATGAAGAAAAACATGCTTAAAATTTAAATAAATTAACCCAGAAAAGGTCAACTGATTTAACACTATGTCAATGACCTCAAGGTTAAAAAAAAAAAAGTCCAACTAATGAAATCATAATCTAAGCAGTACCAATACTTTTTCTAATTCAAAATTATTCGCAAGCTCACCTAATATTGTAAACATGTGAGCAAACTCTAAAAAACTATCACAGACAAAAAGAATGACTATGTCTGGAGAAACAATTTCATACATGTCAATGTGGCCTCTATGTCTAAAGTGACCCTCATGTGGATAGAAATGCAGGAAACACTGAGGTCTGCAAAGAGGGTTCAGAAACAGAACCAAAATCATTAGTGCTGCTACTAGAAAGAGCCAACCATCACTAACATGGGCTCAGCTGTTGACAGTGACAAAGACTTGAAGTCACTCTTTGCCAGTTAAATTAAACATGAAGCAACTTTAAAAAATCTGCGGGGCTGAGATGTGGTTCAGGAGTCCACAGGACTTGCTAAGCACACAGAAGGACCTAGGTTCTCAGCCCATTACTATCAAAAAGATAAAACAAATATCAGTTTTAAATTACTACACGCCAGAAAAAATTAGAAAATATGTTTTTTATATAAAAAAGATTTAATTATTTATTTTGTATACACTTCTGGTGCTTGCACTCCAGAAGAGGGCACCAGATCTCATTGCAGATGGTTGTGAGCCACCATATGGTTACTGAAAATTGAACTCAGGACCTCTGAAAAACAGCCTGTACTCTTAACCTCTGAGCCATCTCTCCAGTCCTAGAAAATGTGTTTGTAATACATATAAAGCATTCTTATCTTTAAAATACTAATAATTAGATGAACATTACAAAAGCCAGACTTATGAGAAAGTCTTACTTTCAAAGGCTAGTGTAACGTGCAAACATGAAAGCCTCAACCTCATTTCCAATTGTCACTATATAAATTGAAAGAACCAGGCACTGGTTTCCCTAGGAAAGATGCTGCAGTAAAAAGGATGTGGGGCACAGCAACACCTCTCATGGCATTCTGAGCATTAACTGGTTTCATTTGTATTATGGAGAATCTGGCAATAGTATTCAAATGGCCACCTACAAGAGACTACTCAGGAGATACATGTGGGTGCTCTAATATCGTAAATCACACAATCTGAACTTTGTGTAATTGATACAATAATGGAGATAAATCTAGATATGATGATCTAAAAAGATAATCAACAAACATCAAGCCGCTGTGTAGTTACAGAGGGACTGCATGAGGGTGGGGTTAGCTGGAGAGATGGTGCCGTGGTTGAGGGTGCTGACTGCTCCTGCAGAACCTGCATTTGGTCCTCAGAACCACGTGGAGCTCACAATGAGCTGAGACTCCAGCCACTCTTCCAGCCTCACTGTCTCTTCACACACAGCAGGCATGAGCTCCAGAGTACTGGGTATTTTAAAGAGAGGGAAGCTGATGTCTGGAGAAGAGCTCAGAAGTGGCAGTCTCTTGCTCGTATCTTCTAGTGTTCCCTACTTCACCTCCCTGTCTATGAGGGCTGTGACTGCTGACTGCTGACACATGAGACAGTGCAGATCCCACGACTCTCCTCCACCACGCTGCATGCTCTGCTTCTCTTGGATTAGTTTTCTTACGCTGCCTTCTGATTCAGAATACTCAATCTTGAGAACCTTCCAGAAACCAGACACGGCTCAGCAGTTAAGGGTACTTGTTCTTTCAAAGGATCTGGGTTCAGGTCCCAGCACCCACGAGGCAGTTCCCAGTTATCAGTATGGCAGTTTCAGTGCTTCTGGTGCCCTCTCTGGCCTCTGCAGACACTGCACACATACGGTGCAGACACATGCAGGCAAAACATCCACACATAAAATAAAATAAATCCTTTTAAAAATACCTTTTAGAAGATTACTGCCCAGTAGCTTTAGGGAAAAGGTTATTTGAGAGGCAGATATCAGGTACTTTCAGTGTCTGACATAGTCTTACTTCACTTTCACGTTTACTGATAGGCAGGAAGACACATTGTGATATGCAATGTTGTTTGAAGGATCATAAAACTCATTGCAATTTCTCGTGAAAGAGTTAATAATTTTCCTACAGGCAAACAATGCTCTACCAAGGGGTAGCAGACATGTGAGGGAAAAGTTCTTAATCCCAACTGCAATTAGATCCAGAAGTATTTGGGAATAAAACTAATATATTAAAAATTTTATTAAGAAAATAAGACTCAATCAAATAGACAAGCAATGTTTATGAATACAAATGCTCTTAAGTAATTTTCTCAAACTTAATTTAAATGCAACACTACTCTGACTCAAATCTCAAAGTTAATATACAAATGAATATTCTAGAATTCACAAGGAAAATAAAGACAAAATAAACAACTGAACAAAAAAAACACACAAAAAAAACAAAAAATGCAGCCAACAAAAGGTTTAAAGGGATAATCAAACATGTCAGGATTCACATTATTAAAATGATGCAGCACACAGAGAAATAACCGAAATGTCTACAGTGATAAGCCCCTCCTGGTGCACATGAGCACAGAACATACATGTATCAACATTACTGTTCAGTAAAATAAACGGTGCTCACAGAACTAGTATGCACCTTGTGGTGGTCTGAGTGTAGCTGGCCCCAATAATCTCTTGGGAGTGACAATATTAAGAGGTGTGGCATTCTTGGAGTGGGTGGGTGTGGTCTTGTTGGAGGAAGTGTGTCATTGTGGGGGTGGGCTTTGAGTTTCCTATGCTCAGGATACTGGCCAGTGTCTCAGTTGACTTCCTGCTGCCTGCAAGATGTAAGACTCAGCTACCTCTCCAGCACCGTGTCTGCCTCCACACTGCTCCCCACCATGATGATAATGGACTGAACCTCTAAAACTGTAAGTGAGCTACCCCAATTAAATGTTTTCTTTATAAGAGTTGTCATGGTCATAGTGTCTCTTCACAGCAATAAAAACCCTACCTAAGGCACATCTCCATACTAAATACAAAAATAAATTCCAAATGGATAGCAAAGATCAAAATGAACGTAAACCTAAAAATAAAAACTTTAAACAAAAATAGCAAGATACAGACATTGAATCTGATCAATTCATGTGTACTAAAATTTTCTGATAGCTTACATGCATTTGAAATTCAAATATTCATGAACTGTCTTTAATAATTACCCTGTATCCCGTGTCTTCCACAACATCACAGGTAGCTGCGTTGTCATGGGTATGCCACACTGTCTCTTTGATGCTGCAGCCATACATAAACACATTCTTTTTACGAGAATGGCCATGGTAGTCACAATACACCTTAAAAAGAGCATATGTTTTCACAATTAAAGCCTTAGGTCTACACATGTCACATTCCAAAAGACGTGTCTGCTGCTGACCCAGCATGCTCACATTCTAAAGACATGAGAGATGATGCGAACCCTTAATTTATTCAACTCCATTCCATGTACAAAATCATTTTCCCTATACACAGCTTATTGTGCTCAAAGTTGTGAAAGAATGCTTTATTATGATCTTTACTAACTTTAGGATGAATTAAAACTACATTGTTGCCAAAAGAAAAATTTTAATCTTTAGACTCATATATTACCAAATAAATGTAGATACATCAAGCCAACCAACAGCTCTGTCTTCTTTGGTCTTTTAATTTAGAAGAATCATCATTTAATAAAAAGTAAAACCAAGTTTTGTTAAGGATTTATAATTAATGTTTGAATTGCTAAATCCTTGAAGGTCTCACATGCTGTAGGACAATGATTTTTACCCTATAATGATTTGTTTCTTGTATTTGTTTAATAAATGCTGATTGGCCAGTAGCCAAGCAGGAAGTATAGGCAGGGCAACGAGAATTCTGAAAATAGGAAAGTTTAAGTCTTCAGTCATGACCCAGCCGCAGAGGAAGCAAGATATGACTGCCTCGCCAAAAAGGTACCAAGCCACGTGGCTACCACAGATAAGAATAATGGGTTAATGTAAGTTATAAGAATTAGCTAATAAGAAGCCTGAGTTAATGGGCCAATCAGTTTATAACTAACGTAGACCTCTGTGTGATTCTTTGCGACTTAACAGCTGTAGGACCAGGTGGGACAGGAAACCTCCGTCAACTGTCTTCTAACACTGGTCTGGACCATGATGTCTTCTCACAGTAACAGAAAAGTAACCAAGACAACAGCCTCCTTAACACTGGTCTGGAGAATCTGGGCTTCCACACCTCTAGAAAGACCAATCTGCATCTCACACCTGGCACAGAATCCATCAAAACAGATCAAGGGCCTGAAGGAGAACTGAGGCTCTCAGAGTGGTAGAGGACAGCACTTCAAGAAGCCCGCACAGGCAAGGGTTTTCTGAAGAGGACCCACAGTACAGGAAATAATTCCAACTGGCAAATGGGGTTACATGAAATCAAAGTGTCTGCATGGAAAAGGAGGAAGATGGGTTGGAGAGAAGGCCCAAGAGCACTAGCTGTTCTTCTGAGAGGCTCTGGGCTCAGTGCCCAGCACCCATGTTGGGCTCCAAGGGACCCAGGCTCTCTTCAGAGCTGCTCAGGACCCTGGACACGTGTCATATATTCACAGAAACACATAATTTTTTACTCTTTAAAGCTCTAAAAATTATTTTATTTAGCCAGGCAGTGGTGGCACATGCCTTTAATCCCAGTACTCGGGAAGCCGAGGCAGGCAGATCTCTGTGAGTTCAAGATCAGTCTGGTCTACAAGAGCTAGTTCCAGGACAGGCTAGGCTCCAAAGCTGCAGAGAAACCCTGTCTCAAAAAAAATTTATTTAATGTTTACAAATATTTTACTTGTATGTATGTATATACACCAAGAGTGGGCCTGGTGCCTGCAAAGGCCAGAAGTGTTGGATGCCCTAAAACTGGAGCTACAGATCATTCTGAGCAGCCATGTGGGTGTGGGAATCACACTAGATCTCTGGAAGAGCAGCCAGTGATCTTAAACACTGACACATCCCTCTAATCCTAAAGCTTGGGTTTTGGTTTTTGTTTTTTGGTTGGAGGGGGAAAATCTTTGACAACTACACATCAGAGGACTAATATCTAAACACTATAAAGAATTTTTTAAAAAAATTACTAAAAAATAAAATCACCCACTCAGTAAATGGTATAATGAATCAAAAATAGAGTTCTCAAAAGAAGGCATATGAATGGCCAATAAATACTTGAAACAGTGCCTGGGAACCCACACAGTAGAGGGAGAGAACCAACTCCTACAAGTTGCCCTTTGACCTCCACACCTGTACTGTGGACAGGAATGCCAATCCTCACACAAGGAAGATAAATAAATATAATTTTTTTTAAAAAAAAAGTATTTGGCATGCTTAGCCAAAGAAATGTAAATTAAAACTGCTCTGAGATTTTATCTCACACCAACCAGGGTAGTTGCCATTAAAATCCAAGTAACAAGTGCTGACAGGGAGGGAGGAAAGAGGAACCCTGGTCACTGTTCAGAAAGAGACACGTGGAGCAGCTGTGGAAGTCAGAACGGGCAACTTCCCAACACAGCCAAACTGTGGAGGGTCCGGCCTAGCACTTCCCAACACAGCCAAACTATGGAGGATCCGGCCTAAATCAACACTCCTGGTGAGAATTTTATGGATCTGTACAAACAAATGTAACTGGAAATGACTACATTAAGTGCAATTACCTAAACACAGAAAAATAAATACCAATATATGTGGAACCTAGGTTTAAAACCGTGTGTATAGATGTATGATTAATATATGCACATGCATGCAGGTCACTATCTAGAAAGGGGGATGGGACACAGGTGAAAAGAGAGAGTAGTGGAACCTGCTGGGGGTGGGAGGAGAGGACAGAAGACTGTAAAGACGTCACTTTGCACGCCAATCTAAAAATATAACTTAAAATATACCATCATAACCAGTAAGTACACTTGTGTATTCAAGGGCAAACAAACACAGCCACATACCAGAGGTAAGCGCTTCACTGCTGCCAGGTACTGTAGCAACCCCTTCGCATGGTAAATTGTAGGATGCAAGTCTGGGTTTGGACTTTGCCACTGTCTGTTCAAATCCTCTCCACTTAAAGAGCAGCGGTGACTACACAGAACAGAAAATACAATTGCCACAGACCGTTACATACCCTTCTGATTCAACTTGATGACTTACTCCAGTAAGTAGTCAAGTAAATGCAGATGGCACTCAACTAAACATAGGTAGTATTCATTAAGTAAACACACATCCATAATTTGCTATGTGTAAAATCTTATGTCATATTAATGTAACAATGGTGATTTCAAATTTTAAAATAAAGTTTTAAATTTTAAATAAAGTTTTTTAAGTTATAAAAACAAATTGTGAATTCTTTGCTTTTCTTCTGTACTTTATAAAATGCATCAATGGACACATTCTCTACTGGCTAACTAGTAACCATCTGCAATTCTAATTCTATATGCTGAGTGCATTAGCTGTCTTGTAGACGTGCAATCTGAGTCCTTCATCAGAGAAAGGTAAATACATGAAAATTATGTAGTCTTGAAAATGTCAATCTGTTTTCCTTTGTCCACAGGAGCGATGTACTGACGTCATCAGGCACAACAGAATCTCTGTCCACACTGTTAACAAAGGAGGCAGAACTAAAGCATGAAAGGCCGTCCTCATACCTGGTGCAGCTTCCCCAAAACAACTCAAGATTTCATGAAATGACATTCCACATAAACAGCACTAACACAGCCACTTAAAAGTCTATTGATGAATTACTCACCAAAGCTTGCTTTCTTCTAGAAAAAAAAAATCATCAAATCCATTTTCTGAATTAACTTGAACAGTACTAGATCAGCGAATTCATATACACCACCATAGAACCATGACATGGCTATAACTATTACTCAACTCACTTTCCATTGATGACACCGTCTGGATTCAGCATAGGTATGATTTTAAAGATGTAGGACTCCCGTAAGCTCTGGGCGGTAGGGCTATTACTCATGAGGTATTCCAGTGTTCCTTTCATGACCCAGCTTGCATTAGTTTCTCCAGGATGGACCCGAGCAGACAAGAAAATATAAGGGCGATTTCCTAAAGTGCACATAAAATCTCAATTAAAATGAACAGTTAGCATGCTAAAAACCTGAATGACATATCACTTTGGGGTCCAGAACTCTTCTTAGTTGTGAATTCCAATGTAAACTCAGTGTAATTCACTATGCACGCATGTGTGCGCACGCACACACACACACACTGCACTGCACTAGGCCCTACAGTAGGAAATGCAAGCAAGCTGCACATGAAGGAACTTGCAATGTGAACAAACACAGTACAAAAATGCACACTGATGGAACCACTTTCCTATTTTCTAATGATTAAAATAACTTGAGGGGAAACAGTTTTACAAGGATTACCACCTGGTAAAGCTTAAAATATAAAATTGCATTTCATAACCTCGTGGAAAAAAGGAGAATACTAACACTAACTGTATGACTGCACAGCGGGACAGCATGCACAGATGGGCAGAGCAGCCGCTATGCACTGACACAATCGACAAACACTATGCACTTATAGAGCCCACAATCATACGACTCACCTCCCCTACATCCATGCATAGCATTTCTTTTTGCTGTTGGTAATTTGAAATATTTATCAAAAATTGAACTACGATCTTATTTTTATTACCTCAGCTGTAAAACTGAAGTAATGCTAAAATTTTAAATGGTGGAGAAAAAGCAAGCAGCTATTTAATAGTGCCATCTATCAGATATCTCAACTCTAAAATACCAATTGCCCTTCTGCTTCAGCACAATTTCTGGACCTGAGAACTAAAAGCATGGTTGTCGAAGGAGTGCTGAGAGGAGATCTCAGCTGACTCTCACTTTCCAAAGGAGACATCGAAGACACAGAGGTAGGTCTACAACTAGGTGAGGACCAAGACTAGAACCTTAATCTTCTCAGGCCCACTCTGAGTATTATTTCTATTATAAATACATAGAAAGCAAACGCAAGTGAGAGTGCGTGACATTTTGAGTGAAGAAGATGGACTTACTGAATTGACAGATATGCTCATAATAATTGGACTCTGGCATTGCTGTAATGGTCACCAGGGGACAGCTGTTTCCAGACAAGGTTTCACACAGCACATCTTTTCGAAAATAAATTTGCTGAGGATTGTGTGCTGATTCCAATTTTTGAAGATGCATCTTGACAAAAATTTAAAAGCAAAGTATATAATCATTTCAAAACTCCCTATTGATATACATAAGTAACGCATCTAGATATTCACAGAACCAGCAGTAAATCTGGTTCCTAAAACTCTTCTCTAAAACTCTCAAGGCCAAATATAGGCCTCAACCTGTGCAGGACGGGAAAAGGGTGTTGTCTGCTAGCTACACAGCACAGCAGCAGGGTTTCCCTAAGTGGAATCAATGTTCTAAATGAGTTCACACAAGCTCAGTTTAGGATTCGCTGCCATTCTGAACCGTGAGAAAACATTTGGTTTGCAAAGCATTTAGAATGTTGGAATTATAACTAAAGTCACGTAATAGCAAGCTAAAATTAGATAACACAAATTATAAACAATTCCTTCTGATTTCAAGATTAGTAATATATGTGTAATAATGAATATATATAATATGCACACATACATATATATATGTGTGTGTGTGTGTGTGTGTGTATATATATATATATATATATATATATTTACTTTGTTTGGAGGAAGAACTTTAAAACAGAACTTAACTTAATGTCACTCAGGCCGGGAAGGTTCCTGACGCCACCCTCTACTGAAAAGCAGCAAAGCTAGGCTAGGATGTACAGTCATGTTCTCCAGTTCGCTTCCTGTACGTGACCATCCCTTCAGCACCCTTGTCATTAGACCAGATACTCTGCAGTGAGGATAAATCTACCACACCTGGCTTGATTTAGCTTGTTTAGTTTTGATATACAATGCAAACATTCAGCAATCTCACAGTTTATATACACATTCTAAGAAACTGGAGTCTCAGATTACAGAATGAACCTAGTTCTTACGCCAAAAAATTAATCTTCCTGCAGAAAAAAAATTCAAAATGTGGCCATACTTCCCTACTGTTAAATTTTTAAAAAAAAAAAAGATTTAGTGCTTTTAATTAAGAAAACTGAAATCACATTTAATAAAAATTTGCTCACAGAAAGTTTGGAGAAGTATCAATTTCTACAAATGATATGTGAAATACATAAATTTTCCTTCCTACTTCTTTTTAAAATTCTTTTTCATTTGTGGAAGAATGGGAGTGGGCATGTGTACACACATGTGCAGGTGTGTGAGAGCATGGGAGTGGGCATGTGTGCAAATATGTGTAGATGTGTGAAAGCATGGGAGTGGGCATGTGTGCACACATGTGTAGATATGTGGAAGCATGAGAGTGGGCATGTGTGTACATATGTGCAGATTTGTGAAAGCATGGGAGTTGGCATGTGTGCACACATGTGCAGGCATGGGAGTGGGTATGTGTGCACATGTGTGCAGGTGTGTGAAAAAAGCATGTGAGTGGGCATGTGTGCACACATGTGCAAGCATGTGAGTGGGCATGTGTGCACACATGTGCACATGTGTGGAGGCATGGGGGTGGGCATGTGTGCACACGTGTGGAAGCATGGGAGTGGGTATGTGTGCACATGTGTGCAGATGTGCTTACCCATGTAGGTACATGAGAAAGCAAAAGCTGCCACGTAGTGTCAAGCATTTATTGCTTCTCTATATTTTTCATTTTCTTTTCTGAGATAAGGTCTCTGACTAAACCAGAGCCAAGAACCCAGGATCCAGCTGCTTTTGCTCCCCACACTGGGGTTCAGGAGCTCACTGCACAAAGCTGTCTTCTAAAGCTGGGACCTCGTGCTCGTGCACTGAGTGCCCTAGCTCTGCCAGCCCCGGACTGCAATAGTTACTGCGTCGTCTCATTTCCACCTGTAATGCTTGCCGAGCCCGAGCCTTCCCCTGCTCTATTTATTTATTCAACCAGAAACAACTTATCTCCAACTGTCTGATACTTACCCACAATACAAAGTGATATTCGAAAGTATACAATCAGCATCTCTCACCTGCAGAGTTGAATATGTATATGGATAGTGATAGGCAAAATAGCAGACATCATCTTTATGTGGGAAGTTCACAGTGAATGTAATTGTATAGTAGGACTTTCCCTTCTGTCCACCTGCAGCAACTGAACTTCTTGAGAAGTGATTTCTGCAATTAAAAAACATAAGGCATAGATGTTCTGATTCTCCTTTGCTAATTTTATTAAGTAGAATTTCAAAGAGAAAGAGAAAACCCCAGTGGACAGTCAGTTTAACTCACTGTTTTATTCCACAGACACTGATATTACTTTTCTACTGCCTTGGTAAGATGCCATGACCAAGGCACCTTATGGAAGAGAGCGTTTACCGGGGTTAGAGTTTCAGATTAGCATCCATCTCACTATGACCATCATAGTAGGGAGCACAGCAGCAGGTAGGCAGGCACTGAAGAGGAGCTCAGCATTAATGCCTTGACCCATAAGCACAAGGCAGGAAAGAGCACACGGGGGATGGTGGGGGCTTTGGAAACTTCAAAGCCTCCTGCCAGTGACATCTCCTACAACAAGGTCACACCTCCTAACTCTTCCCTAACAGTTCCATCAATTAGGGACCTCATGTTCAAGCACCTGAGCCTTTGGGGGCCACCCTGAGCAGGCCATCCAGTCTGTGCCATCCAGGGATTTCCAGATTGTTCTTTAGATTCCATGCGGTTAGACCTCGACACTGCTCATCAGTGGCAGCTCCCTCCCTCCATCAGACAGCCGGCTGAGGACTGCATTCACGGTACACAGTACTAGCACTTCACCGTAGTTAGTGTGGAGATTACCACAGGGACACAGTCAGGAAAGGTGATGTGTCCTAATACTTCCTCATGTGGAGTAAGGGTGGCAGCATCACAGCTGCAGTCCTCTTGCCAAAAATAAACCTAAACTTGAGCTTTCATATCTAACTGACAATGTGCAAGAAATCAGCAAGATACACTTGTTAATAGCAAAGATGCAATCAGCAAGACAAACACAAACTCCTATATGAGAAATGAACCAGTTTAACAGGGCACTCAGAGAGAAAGAGAAAGTATCCTGATTAAAAAAAAAATTAAGAAACACACTACCCACACTAAGTGTGATGTGTGATGAGCAAGGGCAGCAGCATCCTCAGATAATTTTAACATGAAATATTCTGAGGGTATTTTCCAATGACTGCTCTTTTCTCATAGAAATAAATTACTTTCCAGCCTTTTATACCTAAAACATACAATGTGTGATCTTTCATCAAATCTAATGGAGGAAGCAACAAGCAGCATTTACACAGCCCCTGGAAGAATGTGAACACTGGCTAGATGGCATTAAGGACTTTTCTTATGTATAATAATGGCAAGGTGGTGAGATGGTCTTAAGGGATCTTTGTGTTTTAGTGGTATTTCTGGACAAAATATGGGTATCTGACAATTGCTTTAAAAATTCAGCATGGGGACCCACACGATGGCTCAGTGGATAAAAGTACTTGCTGTCAGAGCTAATGACACAAATTCAGTGCCCAGAAACATGTCTCAGAAGGAAAGAACCAAATCCCAAAAGCTATCCTTTGGCCTCTACACTAAAGCAGGTACACCCCCCCTCCAAAACCCAACCCACAATGTAAATAAATAAATAGGAAGAAACTTACATAAATCAACTTGGAAGCAGGTGGTTATAAAATACACAAACAGAACTGACAATGATGGTAAATGCTCAAAGTGGGCAGTGCACACATGGGGTGTCACCCTGTCCATGGCTGTTATAAGTTTAAAGTGGGCAGTGGACACGTGGGGTGTCACCCTGTCCATGGCTGTTATAAGTTTAAAGTGGGCAGTGCACACGTGGGGTGTCACCCTGTCCATGGCTGTTATAAGTTTAAAGTGGGCAGTGCACACGTGGGGTGTCACCTTGTCCATGGCTGTTAAAAGTTTAAAGTTTTTAAGTATTGCTGACATTGGTATTTAAGGATACACTATCAACTTAATTTCTAAATTTCTAAAATTCTTGGAAAAACAGGGCTTACAGGTTATTTATTCCCACACTTACATATTCACACTGGTCTTCATTAACTCCATCTCTGTGTCTTCAGTGCACAGACAATGGCAAGCACTAAGAGCTAAGGAACACACAAAACAGGTCCAAGAAGGAGCCTGACAGCTGTTTCTTCCCTGAGGTGACAGCTAAGTGGAGAGGCATTTATGCCATCATACAGTGGTCCCATGGAAGTCACAGGCTATAAACAAACATACACACATGTTGACAGGAGAGAACTTTGTTCTATTTATAGCTGACACAACAGTGTCCAATCCTGACTGAATGCAGCTTCTGGAAAGCAACCCCAACAACATATACAACATAAAAAATAGTTAAGTATTGTATGCTAAAATGTACTGAATTCCAATCTGACCCCAAAGCAGCCAGAGAAAAAGCAAAAATTAGAACAAAAACTCCTGTTATCATCCCTTATACAGAAAAACTTAATCACGCTATGGTCACACACTTTGCATGTGAAAAGACTTAAAATGTAAAGTAGAGAGATGAGGATGTTTTAATATCTAATAGACTGAGCGGGTCTTCCAGAACCCTGTCTACCACTGCCTAGGTCCCCTCTTTGACTCCAGCATTAAGAACAGAAAGGTGGTCCAGGAGCGCCTTTCTACTGAGCTATCATTAAAAAAACTACAAGCACTATAAAGTGGAGATCAGGGTACACATTTCCTTTGTGTCTGCTCCTCATTTATTTGCCACTTACTCTGCTAACAAATGGAGTGTATAGAACCTTACTGAGAGGAAGCCTGTTTCTGTCTCAGAAAGTAACAGCACGGAAGACCTGGGTTTTCTCAAAGACACAGCAGCAGCTGTTAAATCTGTGTAAATTCTAGAAGCCATCATCTTCTGATAAAGAAGGATGAGACATCCGCGCTGTTAAGGACTATATTAAAGTCAAAATCCACTTTATGGAAAACTCAAAACTAACAGGACAGAAGTCAGCATCTAACATAGATAAAACACCAAGGCCAAAATTATGAGCATATAAAACTGTGTGACTGATGGGAAATGATCTTTAAGAGTTTAGTCTGAAAGTATGTGTGCATTACTAAAACATCTCTGAAAAGACAGCAGCAAGCTGTCCTTCTGCCGAGGGAAGGTGTGACTGACTTACAAAATTGCCCTTCCCAGCAATGAGACAGCAAGCACACCTTCTAGCTTTCCAAACACGGACTGCACATAAATGAGCACCAAGTGCCCTCCGGTGTCCAGCACAAGCACTTCAGAATGAAGAGGTCACGAGGAAACTAGACTAAGGGATAAATGACGCAAAGCACTGCTGACAACCATACAGGAGTCGTGTGCTTTAATGTATTTTATAGTAAATAAAATAAGCATTAAATATACAGAGTGGAGGTTACCTGGAACATTAGAGTAAAATGGGAAGCGAGAACTCTAAGGAGTCTAGGTTGTTTAGAAGCAAAGCTACAGTCACAAATAGGACATCTATATCATACACACCACCTACCCTCCCACAGGCTCAGGGACCACTTCAGAGGAGAAGGAAGAAGAACATTCTGCAGTCTAATGTCAGGGAGGACCAGTCTCAAACAGTGACCCCTGGACATGATAGGGCTGCTGTGCTCAGGGACCCACAGCAGCTGAGGGTACCTGCACACGGTTAGGCGGTGTCCAGGCTGGCCAGGGAGCCATGGACAGCTGATGGCTTCTGAAGGGGAGAGAGTCAGTTCTCTTTAAGTGTGTGGCCCCTGGCAGGTCCACCATTCCCCAGTGGATGCCCCCACACACAGGTATATGGGCAGCACAAACTGGACTCCATGGGTTCTTTTAAAGAGGAGGAAGAGGAAAAAGGAGAAGAGAAAAAAAGAAAGAGATCAAGTTGGGGCATTAGGGAGACAGGAATGGAGTTAAGAAGAAAAACTGTGGGTTGACTAGAATTTATATATATATATAATGAAATTCCCAGAATTAATAAAAATTATGGCTACTATTGCTGGTAAAAAAAAAAAAAACATGACCACTGGGCGGTGGTGGTGCACGCCTTTAATCCCAGCACTCGGGAGGCAGAGACAGGTGAATCTCTGTGAGTTCAAGGACAGCCTGATCAGAGTGAATTCCAGGACAGGCTCCAAAACTACACAGAAATCCTGTCTGGGGGCGGGGGGGGGGGATTATTTGGCTCACACTTCCACATCACTGTTCATCATGGAAGGACATCAGGACAGAAGCCTGGAGACCAGAGCAATGGTACTACCCACAGCGGGCTGGGCCTCCCACACCAAATCACTACTAAGAAAACAGACTATAGTCTGCCTACAGCCCAGTCTAATGGAAGCATTTTCCTGATTGAGGCTCCCTCTTCTCCAGTGACTCCAGCTTCTGTGAAGTTGATATAAACTATCCAGCACACACACTAAGCCTGTTTTCACTGTTTTCTATGAACTTCTGTAAGAATACTTACTTGTAGTAACAAATGTCAGTCCCCATACGAATCCACCACGGTCTGGCGTTGAGAGCTTCCTGAACTGAATACATAAGCGGTTGCATACCTTCGAAAGAAGAGGAAAGGGAAGAAAATATTCTTTTCAGAACTGTTGGTGTAAAAGTGAATCTTGTATTTCTAGAAAGCACCAAAAATTCAGGAAAGCTGAGGTACAGTGCATGTCATTATTTTAGGATGTATTAAAGAAATCTGAGAGAGTTCTTCAATTATAATTTAACCAATAATAACTCCTTTTAAATTTTAACTAAAATGGAATGACTTTAGAGTGAATGGCTACCATTTTTCTGTTAAATTGTATGTATTCAATCAATTAAAGATCATGTACCCCTTGAAGAAAGTAAAACAGCCATACATAAAGACATTATGAGAATCTAGAGAGATGGCCCTGAAGGTAAAACTCATCACCCAAGTATGAGGGAGGCTCTGTGTTTCAGGCCCCAGAACCCACATATAAGAAGCTGGACACAGTAGCACATGTCTGTAATGCAATGCTCTTAGATGACGGGAAGAGGCTCATCCAGCTAGCCTGGCTGAGGCAGCAGCCCAAACAACACACACATACACACAAATGAGCAATCACTCCTCTCTCTCTTCATAGAGTCTCATAGCCATGAGAAAGGCCAAACAATCTATGTTTCCTGTCATTTTTTCTCCACCTAAGTGTTAACATAGGGTGGTGTCCTGGCTCGTTTTGTGTCAATTTGATACAAGCTAGAATCATCTGAGAGAAGGGAACCACAATTAAGATCAGGCTGTAGGGCATTTTCTTAATTAGTGATTGACATGGGAGGGCCCAGTACATGATAGGCGATGTCAGCCTTGGGCTTGGTGGTCCTAGGTTCCATAAGAAGGCAGGCTGAGCCTGAGCAAGCCATGGAGAGCAAGTTAGCCTAGTAGGCAGCATCAGCTCCAGCCTCCAGATTTCTGCCCTGTTTGAGTTCCTGTTCTGGCTTCCTTTGGTGATAAATAGTGATGTGGAAGTGTAAGCTGAATAAACCCTTACTTCCCAAGTTGTTTGTGGTCAGGTGTTTCAGCACAGCCATAGAAACTCTAACTAGGACAGGCAGGAGCTGATAAAGAAATAGAGTTAAGTATGCAAGGTTCTTTCCAGATGTTCGTGAGCTTTAGAGCTGCATCGCTTGGTAGGCACAGTGGTGCCTCCTTCAATCCAGCACTAGAGAAAGACTTGTGGCCATCTGCCCTCCAGGCAGCCATAGTCTACACAGTGAGATTTTTACCTCCCCCTCCTCCTCCCAAAAAAACATAAAATCACGTCATTTCATTCCCTAACCTGATACAGTAGACTTTTTAACTGGAATTGAATTAAATTCATGTGTTAATTTTAGAAATACTGACAGCTTTTACTGAGATCAAGTTTGACTTTAAATTCTATTTTCAGTATGTAATTACTTCCCTGGTGCAGGAATATTTCACTAAATGTATTTGCATTTTATAAGTTTTTTCCTCTCCCTTTCCAACTGGCTCTTTCAAAGCTATTTGTTGCTCACCTTAAAACTGTGTTGCCTGATACACACACCAGCCCACAGCAGCGATGCTGCCTCCTGGATCTCCGAGTGAATAACATTCCTACTGCGAGCTCCTTATTCACCTAGCCCCTCATATGGAAGTTACTGTTATTTTCTATTTTCATTGCATTTCAGGAGATCACAACCTCAAATGTTGACGGTGAATATACTGGTAAGAATAAACAATTGTTTTCTCTTAATTTTAATCAAAATGTTACATACTACTTGATCCAATATTGGTCAAATTTCTCAATTCTATTCTGTATAATACAAGATATAGTGAATAACCTCTATGTGACAGACACTGCTGGTTTTAGACAGATAAAACAGTCAGCATACTCTCCCAACCACCTGCCCTAGATGTTAAGTGCCATTAACTCCATAATTCACATAATTTCACAAAAACTATTACTGCATTTAAAAGTCAGGATCATTTTACTTTGGGCCTTTCATTACTCACAACAGAATAACATGGCTGCTTCTCACACCACTGATGGGCATATTGTATGCTGGAGTCTTCTTACTGTGGACTATCTTAGTTCTGAGAAACTACTGTTCTTTTAGCAGTAACTTGTTAAATTGGCTATTATTTAGAATCCTGTACCTAGGTTCTTAGGTTCTTAGACTTCTTATTGCTTAGATTTATTATTTTTTTAAATTACGTTTATGCGTATTTGAGTGCAGGTACACAGGATAGAGGTGTAGGGTTCCCTAGAGCTGAAGTCACAGCCAGTTGTGAGCCTCCTGGCTCAGACGGTGCCAATCGAACTGCAGTCTCTGCAAAAGCAGCTTGCGCTCTCAGCCATAAGCCAGCTCTCCAGCCCCTTAATTTGGCTCTTTTAAAAATAAGTGTAGAGATCACACTAGGTTCAGAAAAGAAAACTTAAAACCATTTGATTTTTTCATCATTTGCTAAAATAAACAACAAAAGTATAATTTAGTTTTACAGGGTTAAAAACCTAATGTATTCTTTTTTCCAATTTTTTGTTTCTTTGTTTTGTTTTTTTGAAGCAAGTGCCCAAGGTGGTTTAAATTCACTACACAGCAGAAGCTGGCCTTGAACTCCTGATTCCTCTACGTTCCACCTCCCAGATGCTGAGATGCAGGGATGCACCACTATGCTTAGCTCACAGCTTTCAAGAGTTCACAGCCTGTCTAAATTTCCACCTCGGGAGGCTGAAGAGACAGCTCAGGTGAGAGCACTGATTGCTCCTCTCCAGGACCCAGGTTTGATTCCCAACACATGGTCACTCACAACTATCTCTAACTCTAGGTCCCGGAGATGGTCCTCTTCTTCCAACCAGCATTACCTGACACACATACATGCAGATAAGACACTCAATCACATACAATTTTAAAAATCTAAATCTACTTTGGGGGACTGGTTAGATGGCTCGGTGGCAAAGTGTACTTTTACACAAGCATGAAGACCTGAGTTCAAGTCCCCAGAATGCATGTGAAAAGCTGGCTGTGATTATATGTATGCCTATAATCCCAGCACTAAATGGGACATAGAGGGGACCCCTGGGGCTTACTGTTGGCCAGCCTAGCTCCAGGTTCAGTAAGAATTCTGTCTCAAGCAAACAAAGCAGAGACAGATAGGGCACGATAACATATCCTCCTCCAATCTCTGCACCCACCCACACCAAACACACACACCACACATACCAAACACATAGCAAACATACACACCACATACACACCAAACACACACCACATACACACCACACATACCACACACATCTCACACACACCACACATACACACACATACCACACCATATACACCACACATACCATACATACCACACACAAACACATACGTATACCATACACACACATGACACCATACATACCATACCACATACCACATCATATACACCATACACACCACACATACCATACACACCACACATATCATATATACACACACCATACACACACACACCACACCACATACACTACACATATCATACATACCACACACACACATACGTATACCATACACACACAACCACACCATACATACCATACCAGATACCACATCATACACACCACACACACAGACCACATATACCATACACACCACACATACACATACCACACATATCATACATACCACACACACACATACATATACCATACACACACACCACACCATATATACACACACACCATACACATCATATACACACCACACCACACATACCATACATACAACACGCACACATACCACACCACACACATCACTTATACCATGTATAACACACACATACGTCTCCTTTCATCTAAACACTGACTTCTATATTTTGCTTTATTTTGGTCTAAATATCTATCATTTGTTTAACTGTCTTCCTTCCCTTTGATTTATGTCCTCCAGTTCCTTACACTTAATGCTTACCTTCAGTTATTTCGGTTTACAAGTTAATGCTGGTTTAGTTACGCTCCCTAAGTCTGTGATAGCTAGTCTTCTCCTAAAATGAAATGTATTATATAATGGGACAATGATTAAACACTAGCAATGGGTCTAGTTCTACAGAACTCAAATATTTAATTTTAATAGCTTCATATCACTGGTAGCTTATTCTGCTTGACAGATAGTTCTAAATAATTTCTAGAATCAATTTCAAATCTCTTTTTTAAAAAGATATTTAAGAATAACTATCATATGATTTCCAAGAGCTGATATATTCTTTACCTTAATTACTTCTTTATTGATTTCTAACAATAGTTATATCACACTAAAATCTGCAGCTATCTTCTTACATCAGTAAGTTTCCCAGTGATAAGATGCAAGGTTCCCTACTGTTTCATGAGTCTCCTGTGCCTCTTTATGCAGAGAGTTGGAACTGAAAAGCAGTTGCCCTTCCTGGCTAAGATTCTGTGGGTGTCACTTCCTGGAAAGCCAAGACATGTGCGCCCCAAGATGCTTCCAGGGTCCAGTTCAAAGGCTTCCTCATGTCTTTGCCAAAAACTGCAACCTATATGAAATATGTTTGTCTCACATTTTTAGTTTACAATGTTTGTCTTTATTTCATCTTTTTGACGGAAGAAGAGAGTGTGTTTCCTCTCACGCCTGATGGTTTTGACTGTACCCCACTTTATTCTGAGTCATATCTTGCTCTTTAACTTCAGGCTCTGGTAGGGAGGGCCGACTTTCTAGAGCTTCATCAGCTTTTATCCTCTTGTTCTTGACTGGACCTGCACGATTTCCATCATTTCTCACATCCAATGCCTTTCTCTTTCTTAAACTTTACTCTCAGACGCTGGAGTACATCCTCAAACAGTCCTCAAAAGTGGATCCTCAATACTCCAAAGCCAAGTTTGGCTACACTGTTCACAATCTTTACATTCTTTCTTATGTTGTAATTCTTGCTGTGTCAGATTCTATTTTATTAACAGTGATCTTCAGTAAAAGTAATTATTGGAGCTTTTGCTCTCTTTCTGTAGGTTTTCATGATAACTTTACTCCATGAAGGTTCATGGCACCTTAAGTGCTGCAACTTGTGAACTGCACCTGC